AGCACAGAACGATAAAGTTCCATGAACAAGCGCTGGCCCCTGAAACACCATTACAAGTCCTTGCAGATTTAACCGCTGTACAAATGCGGTGTAAAGTTTTTCACCAAGTGGGAACCACTAGTTAAGAAAGGCCAGGATCTGGTAGATGTGGAGCACACCACTTTCATGCGGACGAACAAACAGAAGGTGGCAACTAAACGCAGCCTGCAGGGAATCATAGAATTATAAGTGTAGTGTATTGGAAACAGCTACATGAATCGCTCCATTGACTCCCCATGTTAAGCTTGGGCCAGGGAAAGGCTCCTCAGAGCTAACTTGCTATTGGTCGCTCCACAACAGCGGCCAATCAGGTCTTTACTAATTCCCCGAGCGGGAAGAACTCTCATTGGTCCTTATCCGCACAACCTCATTGGTTGTTAATTGTAAATAGGCGTGGCTATGTTAGCCCGGGAATGTTTAAAAGGAGCATAGCTCCCAATGTTAAGCTGTTCTGGTTATGAATCCGCTCCAGAACTGTGCCTTTTCACAACGCCGCTTTCATATGAAGATTAAGATTTGATCCTTTGACTGTTACACCTTGCTTGGGAAAAGTCACGAGAATTCCTGCCGGAGCAGTGTTGTTGTTTTTTTAAAAGCACTTTCATGAATCTATTTAATTAAAATATAATTCACACACACACACAGTATTCCCTTATGGCTCAAGGCAGACTGTAAAATCCCAACCTAAAACCAAGCACAGAACGATAAAGTTCCATGAACAAGCGCTGGCCCCTGAAACACCATTACAAGTCCTTGCAGATTTAACCGCTGTACAAATGCGGTGTAAAGTTTTTCACCAAGTGGGAACCACTAGTTAAGAAAGGCCAGGATCTGGTAGATGTGGAGCACACCACTTTCATGCGGACGAACAAACAGAAGGTGGCAACTAAACGCAGCCTGCAGGGAATCATAGAATTATAAGTGTAGTGTATTGGAAACAGCTACATGAATCGCTCCATTGACTCCCCATGTTAAGCTTGGGCCAGGGAAAGGCTCCTCAGAGCTAACTTGCTATTGGTCGCTCCACAACAGCGGCCAATCAGGTCTTTACTAATTCCCCGAGCGGGAAGAACTCTCATTGGTCCTTATCCGCACAACCTCATTGGTTGTTAATTGTAAATAGGCGTGGCTATGTTAGCCCGGGAATGTTTAAAAGGAGCATAGCTCCCAATGTTAAGCTGTTCTGGTTATGAATGCCTTTGTGTTTGTTCATTACTTCAATAAAGCTGATCACTTTGCTGAAATCATTCTCTGAATCCTTGTTAGCGGCAATCTAACAATAAGAGTTGGGAGGGATCTCCAAGGTAATCTAGTCCAACCCCCTACACAATGCAGAAAATTCACGAATACCTCCCCCCACCGCACACCCTCGGTGACCCCTGTTCCACGCCCAGAAGAGGACAAAAATCCTCCAGGGAGAGCTAGTTCTTCAGATGCATGGATGATGGACCCCAAAAGGCTTTCAAGGTCATATTAAAAACCTCAAATTGATCTCAAATAAACTAGCATTCGACATAACTGTTTTGAAAATGATGCGTTCATTCCCAATAGCTTGCCTCCTACCACAATCAGGCCGTTGTGTTCCAAATTAGATATGGTTTCCAAGTGGTCTTCTTGCAAGGATTTCGAAAACCCTACTTGGGGGTGGAGAGAAAAGACCCCAGAAAACCAGTTTTGCTTTTGAAGCATTTTATTGCCTATATTCAAAATAACCGCAAGTTCACATTTTGTCTCCAAAAAGCCCCAATTCCCCAGCCCCCCTCCCTCCCAAAAGCTGCACACAGCTATATCCATACAGAGAGGGGAAGAGACCATCCAGTTTCTGTTTCCAATGTAACCTTTAACCAGGAAGGGAATGTTTTAAAAGCAGCAGCAGCAGTGGAAGAAGCCGTCTTGTGAGTCCCTCGCACTGCAGAAAGAATCCTGTAGCACCCTGAAGGCTAACAGTTTTATGGGGCGCAGGAGTCCATTTTGGCAGGTGGATGAGGACTTGCAGATTGGCCTACTGGGGGTAGCAAGTCATGGATACATACAGGCAGCTGAAGAAAGGGTTTCTTTCAGCTTTAATCACTATAGCAGAGATCCCCTAACCTTTTTGAGCCTGTGGGCCCTTTTGGAATTCTGTCACAGCGCGGTGGGTGCAACAACAAAATGGCTGCCGCAGGAGGAGAAAAGAGCGAGAGTGTCCAGGAGCACCTTAAAGACCCGCAAAATTCGTGGCAGGGGAGGAGCTTCCGTGAGCCACTGCCCACTTCTTCAGATCCAAATTTTGTTAGTCTCGAAGGTGTTCCTGGACTCTCGCTCTTTTCTACTGCTACAGACAGGCTAACACGGTCACCCCTCTCTTGCTGCAGGAAGGGGAGCCATTTTACCTTCTGGTCACACAGTGAAGATCCTCGGGCTGTGGGATGCGCTAAGCAACCTTTAAAAAAAAAATCTGTACAGCCAATCAAACCCCTCTCTTGCTGCAGGAAGGGGATGCATTTTACCTTCTGGTCACACAATGAAGATCCTCGGGCTGTGGGATGCGCTGTCTAAGCAACCTTTATAAAAAAAATCTGTACAGCCAATCAAATCTCCAATGACCAATCAGAAGCCTTGCAGGGCAAAAGCCCCACCCACTTTCTAAAAACACTCGGGGCACCAGGAAAGTTGTCGGCAGGGACCACATTGGGAAACCCTGCATAACATCTAGTCCAACCCCCTGACTTATGATACATAGACCATAGCTCCTATTCCCCCCCCCAAAAAAAATGTATTTTGAGATTTATATCCCACCCTTCAATTTTTAAAAAAGAAAATACAGCTAGGCAGCTAAGAATGCGACACACAAAAATACCAAAATTAGCCATTAGCATTTAGAAGGCAACCCAACATTACTTAAATAACTATATTTCAGAAGAGGGAGAAATATGAAGTTCTGCTATTCACATTACATTTCAATGTAGAAAAGCAGGAGTCTACTAAGAGAGAATAAGGCACATACGCACACTCCCTACCAGGAAACTGCTCTCTTAAACCTGGCACCTAAAATACCAGAGACTAGACCTATGACCAGGCTGGGGCATGGCTGAGGGGGTACTGCCTCCTTACTCGTGGCCAGCCACGCAACTTCAGAATGTTAGGAGCAGAGCTTTCCATGAAAACCGTTTCAGGGGGCAGTTGTGCTGGTCTGCAGTAAAATAACTAGATTAGAGCCGGGTAGCACTTTAAGGGAACAACATTTTCTGAGCGAGGGAGCCTGACCCTTCGAAGTTTATACCCCCCAGAATCGTGTTGGTCCCTAAGGTGCCACTGGATTCTAAATCTAGTTGTTCCAAGGAAACAAGTGCGATGAGGCAGGTTCTTAAGGGAACAATTTGTCCTTTAAAGGTAGTCCACTCAGTACAGGGTGTCTGTTGTGGGAAGGGAGAGGAGTTGGTAAGCTGCTCTGAGACACCTTTGGGTAGTGAAGGGCGGGGTATAAATCCATTCTCTTCTTCTTCTCTGTCAGCCCCACCTACCTCACAGGGTGTCTGTTGTGGGGAGGGGAAGGGAAAGGAGTTTGTAAGCCACTCTGAGACACCTTTGGGTAGTGAAGGGCGGGGTATAAATCCAATCACTTCTTCTTCTTCTTCTTCTACATTGTCTATCTCTGTTCTACCACGTTTCCGGGCCAGGAAGAAACTTGGACTGGCAAACTACTGATACTACTGGGCCTCAGAGGGTCACCCTGTGGATCTCATTAAGACCTGTAGCCAACCACTTCCACAGATTCAACAAGCCGTCCACCTCGCTGCGTCTGTTAGCTTTTAAGGTGCCACAAGATTCTTGGTTGGTTTTGTGCCAACGAGCTAAAAACCAGCTTCTCTTCTGAAACCGAAAACCATACTTGGGTCTCTGAAGAAAGGTCAGATTTCCACCGGCAGGACAACATGTGCAGACTTCAGAGTTACCACAGAATTCCATCACACGTGAAGCACACCACAGCCCAAACACAGAGTTTTAAAGACGCAAGATAGGAAATTCCTGACCAGTGTTCCCTCTAAGCTGAGTTAGTGTGAGGTAGCTCACAGTTTTTTAGCCTCCGGCTCACATATTTTTGCCTTAGCTCAGGAAGGAGGGCTCCAGAGCAAACCAATTTAGGCAGTAGCCAAATCACTTGCTCACAACTTTAATGCCAGTAGCTCACAAAGTAGAATTTTTGCTCACAAGACTCCACAGTTTAGAGGGAGCATTGCTCCTGATGTGTTCCGCATCTGCTGCCTCATCTTATTTAAAGCCCCAGATAACACCATTCCTTTCTCCAACCTCGCAAATGTCTCCCAGAAGTTTCAGTGAGTTACCATTCAAAACGGCACTTATTAAAAAAAATAAAAAATATGGGTCCCCAAGTATCACCCCGCAAAAATCCAGACCAGTTTGTCCCATGACTTGCTTGAGAAAAAGAAATGTATACATAAAATACTTACAATTGCTTTGAGGAAATACTTTCTTTGGCATTGGGGGGGGGGGGGGGGGAAAAAAAATCCCAAATTCTTGGTCCCTTGAGAATAAGTGATGTGGAGGCAGCAGGGCCTCACATTAAGTAGGAAGTTAAAAGGAGATGACAGACTCTGCCTCAAAAGCATTTTCAAGTTTCTAGCCCTCATTACGTTAAAGCACCCCCCCCCGATCCAAAACACTTGGGATGTGGCCAGCAGCCAACTGTGTCCCTGACAATGGGCAATTCTGCATTGGCTTTTCCCTCCGTTGTTTTACCAAACCCACCTTGGAACAGAAATTCCCCTCTGCGTTGCATGCCGCTTTCGCTTTCTTTAATCATCGGAACTTATGGTACCCTCCACACGCCAGGCGGCTTTCCCTTTCTTTGACCATCAGATTTTATGCCGCTTTTGCTTTCTTTGATCATCGGATTTTATGGTACCTTCTGCACAGATTTATGGCCATTCAGGGCTGACTTTGCGGTCAGTACGGCGTTGCCCTGGGGTACCTGAATGTGGTTTTGAGCTGCATTTTCCCCTCCAAGTTGAAAAAACGTGGAGCAAATGCTAGATGCAGAATCGCCCGATGTCGAATCCTAGAGCGAAGAATAAGCTACAAATAGCTGGTCTTCCAGGAAACAATTAGAGGTTATTGCAGAGTTTTCACAAGAAAACCACTCTAGATTCCAGGGACTGGGATTTTGGGAGTTCCTGTGCTCACTGCTTAGGGGATATTTCAGGACAAAGAAACCAGGTATTACCCATCCATCCCTACAGACGCTTACTTATAACTGCTAATTTGCTGTGCTAAGAGCTGGCAATCAGCGCTTTAAAAAACCTGACAGGAGAGCATGGAATTAGCAGAATAAAAGGACGCTACTTCCCTGGATGAATGCATACCAGGATTCCAAGGGCATGCAGAGAGGACAGAAAGACGTACCTGGTCCAGAATCCTGCTTCCTAAACAACTCAATTGTCTTTTAAAAACAAAAGAACACAAATTTCTAGTCCTCAGGGAACGAAAAGGATGCTTGGAAACTCATACTACCTAAGAAGCCAAAGTTTCAAAAAGCAGTCGAGATTTCAGGGATCTATTAAAGGCTCAGAAGCCCAGATAACTGTCTTCCAGATACTAGCATCTAGGGGCCTTAAGGTTTCCAGTGGTCTAAGGAGCAGAGAGATGAACTTTTGGGGTGGGGGCAAGAACACTTCAGCGCTCAGCATAGCTCCACGTCGCTTCCAGTGTAGAGAAAAGCCACTCTGAATCTATCCCAAAAAACGTACGTATCTAATTTAGAAAACCTGCGCAGTTTGCAGAATTAAAGTGGTTTTGGTTTTGTGAAGACAGGTTTTTAAAGAGCTGTGTCTTCTCCAAAAATGCACCAGCAGAATCTGATCTGATTTTTTTTTTTGCAGCACAGGAGGAGACACCCACGCTGGACTTTTAGGTGACCCACGGGGTCTTACGGACCAACCCAACACTGGGGGGGAAAGAAACAAAAGATAAAATCATGGCTTTATTATTTCACCTCTGCTTTTTTTTAAAAAAGAAAAAGGATCCTTTTTCATTAAAAAAACAGGTTATAAAATACATGAGATACTGCAGGGCTGCTGGCAACAAAGGCAGAAACTGTACAGGAAGGAGGTTACAGGGAGACCAAAAAAAAGAAAGACTTTGCAGCCTCTCTAATCTTCCTGTTCCTGATAACAGTAATATTCCGGTGAGTTCCTATCCTGGTTGTTGGCTACGTCGCCGGGGCTGCCCAGAGGGCAATACTTGGGGTCATAGATCTGGCGGCTCATGCCAAAAGCCTGCCCGCTTTGGTTGGCCCCCTGGGTGTAGCCCATCTGGAGAGACATAGAGCCGTCGTCGCATTTGTCTGTGCCCGTCTTGGCGTCGTAGATGTGCCGCCGGGTGCCTGGAGCCGTCATGCCCACCTGCGAGGAGAAACAGACCGTTCAGCATGAAGGAGCCGCAGAATTTTGCAAGGAGGGAGGGATGCAATGACAGGAGGAGGGGTTCTTGCCAGCGTATAGACAGCAGGAGCCATTGCTCAGGGCTACGGGAACACAGGAAGCAGTAATAGGCAGGTAAGTTAGGCTTACTGAAAATAAGGTTTTTTTAATCAACAGGAACAAGCTTCTAGACAAAGGTTTGCTTGAAAGTGCCCGATGGAAGTCTCAAAGCCATGAAGGTGGGGGCTGGTGCTTGCTTCTTGTCCCTCTCTGTGGATTAGTAAAGCTGATGACAGATTCAGGTGGGTAGCCATGTTGGTTTGAAGCAGCAGAACAAAGTTTGAGTCCAAGGACACCTTCTGGGATTAGGTGAACAGCCACCCGACTCGTGACACCAAAGCTCTGGAACTCTCTCCCCAGCGAGACTTATCTGTCCCAAACTGTTGCTGTCTTCCGCCAACAGGTGAAGACTTTTTTTTTTTGGTCTCGCTTGGCTTTCCCCTCGATGATCCCTCCTTCTTGCCCAACGCTTTAATTGCTGTTTATGTCTTTGCACATATTTCAACTCTGTTTTAAATCGTTTTAACTATGTGTGTTTGATGGGTTGATTTGAATGGTTTTTAAATATGACTTTATCACGTATGTTTTAAGTTGTTGGCCACTTTGGTCGCCCTTGTGAGGACAGAAAGCTGGAATACAAATTTTGTACATAAAACAAATGCAAGAAAAGCAACGCACAGGATACTGAACCATGGCAGGTGCTTCAGCTTCTAGGTTAGCTCTGGACTAGAGTGAACTTTCAGTCAATAAAACACTCACCGGAAGGAAATGCAACCAGCAGGTGGACCCAGATATAGACAGACAGAACATTATTAACCTGCTGGCTGTACCCAGCATCTTTCAAAGGGTCTCTAAAAGAAGAGCCCTGCTGGATCAGACCAGTGGTCCATCTAGTCCAGCATCCTGACTCGCACCGTGGCCAACCATTTCCCCTGGATGGCCAACAACAGGGCAGAGAGGCCAAGGCCTTCCCCTAATGTTGCCTCCTGGCTCTGGTATTTTCCTAGATTGACTGCTTCTGAATGTAGATCTTAAGAATGTAAGTCCATAAAAATTTTGACCTCAAAATTTTCCCATATTAAGAAACTCTAAATTTTTAATGGCAATGGATAAGGAGATTAAAAAATTTATTTGGTATCCAAAAAAGGCAAGAATTAGATGGAAATCACTACAAAAAAGAAAAGAAAAGGGGGGCTTCGGATTTCCAAATTGGAAAATATATTATCAAGCATCTGCTTTAACCTGGATTAAAGAATGGCTAACTTTAGATAATGTGAGAATTTTAATGGGCTGTATATGGGCTGGCATGCCTATATTTGATATGGAAAGGATAAGATCCATTCAAACTTTAAACAACATACGGTTAGAGGCTCATTACTATGGATATGAAATGAAATCAAAGGACAGTACTATAAGAAAACCCCTAAATGGGTTACACCACTAGAAGCTTATATAAAACCATCTCTTATTAACTCGTGGGATAGAGAAAGTTATCAAACACTGCTAGATGAAAACAACAAATTAAAATCAGAAGACACGTTATTGACAGTATATAATATAAAATTAACAGGATGGGAAGCCTTGCAGCTTAGATCTAGATATGCTAAGGATGTGGCAGTAGGGTTTCAAGAAATGCGATCACAACTGGATAAGATTTGGTTATCCTCAAGTGATAAATTAATCCAGAGAATATATGGTTTCTTGCTGGAGGAGTATATGCAAAATGAAATGGTTAGTCAAAATATGTTAGCAAGGACAAAAGACCTAGGTCACACGATAGAAAGGGAGAACTGGGCGAATACCTGGGGATCGCTGAATTATGTAAGAGCGATTAATTATAAAGAAAATATATACAAGGTCTACCATAGATGGTATTGGTCCCCTGATAGGACAGCAAAATGTAACCCGATGGCATCTAAAGCATGTTGGAAATGTACAAAAAACATAGGGACGTTTTTTCATATGTGGTGGCGATGCCAGAAAGTCAAGAGATATTGGGAAATGATTCAAAGACTTGTAGTCGATATCTTGAAGTTGAACGTGACTGATCATCAGCTAGGATTCATGCAGAACTGGTCCACACCCGGAAACTGAGAAAGTCCGGGCCAAGGGTGGGGGTGTCTGGATCATTTCCACCTCCCCGAGGACGACACTCACCCAACAGCCAATACGGCAACACAACACACACGAAGGCCGCCCCAGACACAAGCCCTGGCCTGCCAGTGACTGGCAAAAGGCACACCAGATATCCCCGGGGGTCTGAGAAGCTCCCCCTCCCACGGCCTTTCCGTCACCAGGTGGGGCCACGAACCCCTTCAGCCGCACCTAACTTCAAAAGGCAAGAGGCTCTGTTCTCACCTGACTGGCACATTTGTTAGTGCCCATCTGCAGACTGATGGTGGAGTGGTCCATGGGTGGTAGGATCTGGTTCTTGGGGTCGTACAGGTGCCGCCTCGTGCCATAGGCCGTCATTCCCGACTGACTGGCACATTTATTAGTGCCCATCTGAGGCAGAGAGAGAAGAGAGGGAGAAGAGAGAAGAGAGCTTTCTTCAGTCTCACTTTCCTTTTTATTTAATTCATTTATAACCCTGCCTTTCTTCACGACGGGGACCCAAAGTGGCTGACATTTTTCTCCTCTCCCCCATTTTATCCTCGCAGCAGCCCCGTGAGGTAGGTTAGGCTGAGGGAGTGTGGCTGGCAGTGTTCCCTCTAAGCTGAGTCAGGGTGAGCTAGTTCACAGTTCTTTAGCCTCCGGCTCACATATTTTTGTCTTAGCTCAGGGAGGATGGCTCCAGGGCAAACTAATTCATGCAGTAGCAAAATCGCTTGCTCACAACTCTAATGCCAGTAGCTCACAAAGTAGAATTTTTGCTCACAGGACTCCACAGCTTAGAGGGAGCACTGGTGACTGGCCCAAGGTCACCCAGTCAGCTTCCGCAGCACGAGTGGGGATTCGAACCTGGGTCTCCCAGATACTAGTCTGACACTCTAACCACTACAGCACACTGGCTCTCACGAAATACAAATGCCAGGTTCTACTTTGGTTTGGGGACACAGGCTTCAGGGCCCACAGGTGCCTCAGAGGCTGCCGGCTCAGAGATGAGTTGGTTGAAAACCAGTGCCCTGGTGAGCAAATGGAGACCCCAGCAGCAAGTCAGCATGGAAGTCAGAAGGCCTGGGGATCTTGATGCTCGTCAGTAGCCCTAGATTGGCCTTCCGTCTCCCCTGACTTCCCAAGCCAGGAGGATCAATAGCCTGATATACACGGCGTCTCCCAGCTGGAATTGCCCACAATGCTCCCTCCAACCTGCCAATCCGGTAGCACAAAAGGCAGGGAGTTAGTGCCCGATCCTCCAGGTTCCCAGAAGTCAGACGTTCTGATTAGATCAGGAGGCAGGTAGACATGCAAATATTTTAAATGAATGCTAGTACATTAACCCAAAGCCTTCACGGAAGAAGAAGGTTTTCAGAAGAGATATGGAAGGAAAGAGAAGGACAATGGCATGAAGGCTTTGTGGCAGGGAGTTCCAGGGGTAAAGGCTGGATTAGCCAGAAAAGCGTGGCATCTAGATGAGTCAGGAAAGCAAAAGTCACAGGGATATATCTGGATATGAGGGTGGAGAAGAGAAGCTACGGGAATCAAGGGGTCACAGATACACTGTTCAGCAG